TGACATATCTGACAAAGAACTTATCTCCAAACTCTACAGAAAACTTCAACACCTCCACACCAAAAAGACAAACAACCGAATTCAAAAATGGGCAAAAGAATTGAACAGACAGTCCCTAAAGATGATATACTGGCAGCCAACAAACACATGAAGAATTGCTCACGATCTTTAGTCATTAGAGATGTAAGTCAAAACAATGATGAGATACCATCTCACCCCAGCAATAAAAGCAAAGTTCAACAGGACAGAAAATAACAAATGCTGGCAAGGCTGAAGAGAGATTAGGACTCTCATACACTGCTGGTGGGACTATAAAATGGTACAACCATTGTGGCAAATGGTATGGTGTCTCCTTTAAAAAAATGAAAACAGAAATACCACTTGACCTAGCAATTCCATTACTAGAATATCCTAAAGAGTGAGAGGCAGCATACAAACAGACATATGCACATCTATATTCACTGCAGCACAATGCACTATCACAAAGAGACAGAAAGTGCCAACAAAAGACGAATGGATAACCAAATTATGATACATACACACAATGGAATATTGTGCTACATTAAAGAATAATGAAGGATACTTGAATCATCTCACAACATAGATGAGCCTGGAGGACATTATGCTGAGTGAAATAAGTCAGCTGCAGAAGGAAAAATACTGTATGAGACCATTACTGTAAAAATATAAGAAGGGCTTGCTTAAGAAAAGGGACTCACGTTGTAAGGTTATGTGGGTGGGAGGTAAGAGGAGGGATTAATTTGGGGCTAGTTGGGGGCCACATGCTGACGTGGATAAGCAGAGGGAAGGTATAGAAAGAGTCTGTGACCACCATGATAACATTAGGAAAAGAAGGACACCAAATTGTCCACATAAGATACAGACAACAGATGCTAATACAAACGAGTATGTCTTCAATACTGAATTACCATTAACACCAAACACCAGGCTACAGATAAAACACCTAAACATCAGAGAAGATCAAATGGGGGTCAGTGAACAGGAGTATACTCCAGACCAGCAGAGGCTAATCTTGCACAGATACCAGTAATACAAAATACCCACAATCCTTATAGAAACAACAGAAGACAGACATAGAGCAATTCCTCACAGACAGCCAGACACTGTTAGAGAGAGATCTGATGGATCTACTGACTTAGGACCATAGTACTGGGGGACAACAGACTCAACTGGTACAACAAAATACCTAAAAGTCTTGTTCCTCATCCTACATTGGTGAGTAGTGACTGGGGTCTTAAAAGCTTTTAAGCAGCCATCTAAGATGCAGCTAATGGTCTCCTATCATCAGAAGCAAAGAAGAGTACAAAAAAACAAGGGCATTTGGAAGCAATCAGACCTAGGACATGATGGCCCTTGGGACCAGAAGAACTAGATGGTGCCCAGCTACCAATGCCAACCACTCAGGAAAGGATCAAATCCGGAGATCCTGGACAGAGTGGGAGGGAAAAATGTGGAACAAAATCAAAAAGTCAATAATGATCAGACTTACTGGTCAGACAGAGGCTGGTAAGATGCCCAATACTACAGCCCTGAGATACATTCTGTGGTTGGAATAAAAGTCACTCCCAGGGTTGGCTTTCAGTCCAATAGTAAACAAGATGTACACGTACACCACTTAACCCAGGGTGATGTACCCACATACTCTATGGAAATGCATCCCTTGAAATGCATCGACCATGGTGCACAAGAGGGGCAACATTACCATGGAGGAAATTCAGACACACAGGAGTGCATTAACTATGATGGGCATGGTAGGGAAGGTTACTGGGCAGGGAAGGGAGAAGACTGAGTTATGGTTGTGGATGGTAAATGGGGATTGAAACTAAATGTACATGTAATGTTGAATGTAAAACAAACTCTGCTCTGTAAACTTGCATCTAAATCACAATTTAAAAAAAAAAAGAAAGAAGAAAAAAGAAACCCAAATTTTGGGTAAAACTGTAGCAAATGGAATTCCAGAGCACTTAATTGTGCTCATGATAAACCTATACACAGATGAAAAGGCAGTTCTTAGAAAAGAACAAAGGCATGTTACATAGTTTAAAGTCAGAAAAGGTATGTAGCAGGGTAGAATCTTTTCACTATACTTATTTAATCAGTCTGCATTATACAATTAGAAAACCCAAACAATATGAAGAAGAATACAGCATCAGGAATTGGAATAAGACTCACTGACAAACAGCAGTAAGCAAATGAAAACAAAAAGCATTTGAAGCACTGACTGATGAAGATCAAAGACTACAGCCTTCAGTATGTATTACACCTCAAAATAAAACAAAACTCCTCAAAACTGGATCAATAACCAACACTATAAACAAGAATAAATGCTGTGGCTCTCAAGGCTTTCAATTTACTTGGGTCCACAATCAATTCACATGGAAGTAACAGACAAGAAATCTAACAATCATTATGACCCTCAAGAGTATGGTCCTGACTGAGTAGTTGAACCTGTGGGCTTGGGACCATACTCACAGAGGACATCAAGCTCAACTGGCATAACATACTACACAAAACATTGTTCCACCTCCTACTGTGGCAAGTAGCGACTGAGCTCTTAAAAGCGTGCAAGCTGCCATCTAGATGCAACAATGGGTCTCTCCTCAACCAGAGCCAAGAAGAATGAAGAAAGCCAAAAACTCATGGAAACAATTAGTCCTAGTGACGGGTATACCATCCAATCGGCAGCCCATAAGACTATTAGACCAGAAGGAATAGAGGGTGCTCAGCTACTACAGTCAACCACTTGGAAGAGGATCTTTGTAAGAGATCCTGAACAGACAGGGAGAACAATGTGGAATAATTTGGGGGATAAAAAAAAAAGCGGGGAACATGTTTGCTGGCCCAAGGACCCTGGTGGAACCACTGAGACTATGGCCCCTAGCTGCCCTTCAGGTCTGGAACTGAATGCATAGCCGTGGCTTTCAGCCAAACAACAGACAGGCATTTATCAGTTGAGCATTTACCTGAAGTAGATCCACTCCTTGGAGAGATAAGCATGGGAGAAAGAAGGGCTGCTCAGGCACAGGGAGACAGCTCAGGGGGTAGGAGTGCATGGAGAGACGGACACAGTGAAGAGGTAACCATCAGGAGGAAGTGAGGGGAGATGTTGCATTGTGCTAAACTGTGGCCAATGTCATAAGACAAAGTGTATGTAAACTGCTGTACGGAAAGTGTATTTGCTCTGTAAATTTTCACCCAATCATAATAAAAAAAAATTTGAAGAAAAGAGTATGGTCCTGGGCTGCAAGGCCAGCAACTTGTTCCCTGAAGGTGTTTGGTTATGGCTAATAAGTCTTTCGTAGCCTTTGCCTCTATATTCTCCACTATATTCATGAATGTATTTGTAGCACACATAAATACATATGTAGACATATCCTTTGTCAAGCTTACATATATATTCATGGATATAGTCCCATCCACCTTCCCACACCTAAATATTAACTTGACTGTCTATGTAGAATATTGTTGCTTTTGTAGGATTGAGTATGTAATAGCATTTACTTCCATTGCCTTCCAGTCTTACGCCCTGTCTTCCTTTGCCTTGATCACTTTGTGATGTCCTTAATGTTACCTTCTCCTTCACCCAAGTTAAAATGTGTCTACTCTAGTTTATGATTTACCCTTCCTCACCTCCCACCATTAGTACCACCAAAGAGTATTTCTTTCTGTGTGTAAACCTTTTCATGACTTTTTATAATAGTGGTCTCATGCACTATTTGTCCTTTTGTGAGTGGCTCATTTTACTTAGTATAATGTCCTCCAGATTCATCCATGTCATGAGGTGTTTCAGACACACTGCTACTCTTGAAGAGAAAGGGAGATCGGAGAAGGGGAGAGTAGGAAGGTGAGAAGCAAGGGAGACAGAAAGAAATAAAGAAATGCAGCAACATACTGTACTCCTGCAAAAGACTTCTTTAAACATGTTAAAATACAAGACTAAACAAAAACTGATGCATTTGAATTACGGTGTTGCCAAAGAATGTAACATGAAAATAACAATAAAAAAATGAAGAAACCAGTCTTGGAAGAAGGACAGCCAGATGTTCCCTAGAAACAAGGATGGTGAGACTTTATCTCACGTATTTGGATATGTTAGAAAGTGGGAGGAACCAGTACTTGGAAAAGGACATCATGTTTGGTAAAGCAGAGGGTTAGCAAACAAGAGGACTCTCCATGAGATGGACTGACACAGCAGCTTCAACAGTGGGGCTCAAACACAGCAACTAAGATGATGGCACAGAACCTAGAGTGCTTTCTTCTGTTGTATATAGCTATGAGTTGGAATCAATTTGACAGGACCTAACAACAAAAATTTAAGGGAAACAAAACTATAAACTTTCTACCTCTACTCTTACAGCTGATTATGGACAAAACACTATAGTAAGTTGTATTTATGATAGGGAATAGCTGCTTGAACTATAAAAGAAAATACAAAGAAATTGCACCTATCTTTGGAAAGAAGAAAAAGGAATATTTGGAACATAAAACAAGAAATTATACCCACTGAAAACAAACTGACTCTGACTCATGATGATCCCACGAGTTACAGAGCAGAACTGCTCCATCATCATTCAAAAAGCAGTTCATGAGGATTTAGTTCTGCAGAATCTCTGAATGGGTTCATCAAATCATCAACCATTAGGTTAGCAGCCAACAGCAGATCCTTCAAAAGATTTCCTGAGGCAGTCTTATTGTATTAGACCATTTCAATTAACTCTCAATTATAATCAAAATGGCGAGTCTTTATCCCCAAATAAATACCTATAGTATGTTATCATAAGAATAACACATGTTCATAAAATGAAGTTATATAACCAACAATAAATCCCAAAAAATCATATTCTTCTCTCATATTTTATAATAAAATTTTACACTTTAAGTTGTATCACTATTATATTTAAAAAGCTTAAAGTTTAGTAAGTACACACACATTTTGCTATGTTTTACACAAGGCCTTACTCCCTTGATTAAATACTCACAAGATCAGCATATTTCTTACAGAGAGCTGCCAGCTTCTCCTCTGGAGTTGAAAGGGTGTTCAGGGCTTGCATTAATAATAAAACTTCTTTTCCTGATGATTAACAAGATTAAAAAAATTAAGCCCCAAAAGAAGGATGAAATTAATCCAATCTATAAAATCTACATTAAAATGTCTCATGTCTGACATCTTAAGTAAAGTAATATGCAGTTAAAATCAGAGCAGAAGTTGGAAAACTACTCTAAAAGTGTAATTTAGCAAGCACCTAGTCCTCTTCCTCCTGCCTTACAAACTTCTTCACCCATTAACTAACACTGCATTTTAGCCCTTAAATGGTAAGACTGATAATTTCTGAAGCTTTAAAACTACTCTTGCATAAACATTGCTTGTAAGACATCTTATAAAAAACAAAGAATATTTTTTAAAGTTAGCTTCTGAACTCTGGTAGCACAGTGTTGTAGCATAGTGCCTAAAGCATCTGACTGCTAACCAGAAGGCTGGCAGTTCAAACCCATGAGCCACTCCTCAGAAGGAAGATTGGGCAATCTACTTCTGTAGTGATACTGCCTCGGAAATCAGAGGGGTCGCTATGAGTCAGGGCCAACTCAACAGCACACAACAACAACAAACAAGTACAAATACAGAAGTTCAAAATTTTAAGTAGTATTTTCTGTCTATCTAAGATGTACAAATCATTTATGATACACAACTTTACCTACGAGGAGCAATTTAAGTAAGTATTGTTTTCTGGTTATTTATTAAGCATATTCCAAATGTTAAGCAAGTTAAGTGTTAAATAAAGAAAAGTCAGTACAGCTCTTCTCTGGCAAGAGTTTTAAAGGAGTATTTTTTACATAGCTCTGACAGGAAAAAAAAAAACGTGGCTGAGACAGAAGGGGCAAATACTGCGTGAAATTCATAATCTAGGGATAGGTACACTTTTTGTTTTCTGAAGTGTTCACTCTTTTATGTAAGGTTTTCATTAAAAGTCTTAAAAAATAGATGATGATAACATTAACAGTAGATTCACCACACTGTTAATCTAAATATCAAATTTATACACTCAAAAATGGTTAAAATGGCACATTTTATGATAAATAAAGAAAATTTAAAGAACTATAAATATCTGTTAAAACCATAATAGATGCCATACCATATAGAATATTATTTGGTTACAAAAAAGGTTAATTAAAAAAAACAAAACCCTAATAAAACCTCTTCTCAGTTTCAAGGCAAGAATAAAAGACAGAAAAGTAAGTATCACTGAAAGTGTCAGGAACAAAAGTAGTGTAACCCACAAGGGAAGGGTTAATACATAATAAGATACAATACAAAGATTTTTAACTGAAACTTTTTTCAACTATTTGTACTACTTTACCATCAAGCTATATTTTATGTATGTAATGAAGACTGTTCATTTTGTAGATATTTCTCTTGTTTGCAAAGAATTAAAATTATTTTTACATTGCTATAAGTTTTTAAGTCTTCAAGGGAATTAGAAAATTTAATAAGATTGAAATTAATAATAAAAATTCCAAGTTATAGTCACATCCAGAAATAAATCAAGCACTGTACACATAATAAGCATAAAATCTAAGGGACAACCAGTAAGGCTAAAATAAAAAGAGATTGCTGATTTCGTTCCTGAGATGACATATTACATTCTTTGTCATAACTCTTAAACTACACTAGCACATCACAATGGAGAAAATATATCCCGAAAGCTTGTCCTAAACTACTTTGTAAACCTAGAATGTAACAAAATTATGATGCCTACAAAGTTCTGTGAATAATCTTTAAATTAACTACATAAGCAGTTTCCAGAATAATTTTAAGTCAGGTTACCTTAAATGATACAAACATTAATCACACTAATGACACTGGTAGCTTAATGGCAGAATTCTCACCATCCAGATGGGAGAACTGAGTTTATTCCTGGTCAGTACACTTTATGTACAACCACCACTCAGCTGACAGTGGAAACTTGCATGATGCTTTTTTTCAGAAATATGTAAAGCAGAGCTTCCAGATTAAGAAAGACTAGGAAGATACATCCGGTAATCTACTTCCGAAAAGACTCTGAATCACAATGATCCAATGTCTAACTAATAATGTGTATGGAATGGACAGCATTTCATTCATTTCATTCCACAATACATAGGGTCATCAGGAGTCAGGGGTTGACTCAGCTAACAAGCTGCCAACCTGGCCCCTATTTCTATGACAGTTCCTTGATTATAATTAGAGAGAAATAACTAGGCTTTCTATTCTGTTATTTTCCAGTCCTACACATAACTTCAGAGCATAAGCCACTTGACTGCTAACCAGAAGACTGGCGCCACTCCTCGGAAAGAAGGCTGGACAACCTACTTCCATAGTGATACTGCTTCAGAAACCCAAGAAGGGGTCGCTATGAGTCAGGGCCGACTCAACAGCATATAACAACAACACATAACTTTGGAGGACAGGCAGACTGACTCAAAAGGTAACACGTCTATTAGCTAAGTAACAGTCTATCTCAAAACTATCTTGGCAGAAGAATCTAAATAAAATAAGCAGTATGTTAAAATAGCCAACCACTCAGCCAAGGTTATTACCCAAAGCTTTCTCTTTGTTCCTGTTGCACTCTGAAAGTTGCCGACCATCACAGAAATCTACTTGAGCATGTTGGCCAGAGGTTTCCTCTCCTGTGCTCACCAGATTCCAATTCTTTATTACAAAGGCACTGTCTTCATCTTCTTCCAATGGATGTTTGTTATTTGTACTATCACAACTTGAGTCTTGATGTTGCAGAGTATTATCTGATTGAGAGTTACACAACATATCTGTTTCCACAGTTAGCCCATAAATTCCAGCTTCTTCCATTGTGCCAATTATAAACTACAGGGAAAAGGTAAGAGGAAACACAGAGAAATGGATTATATAAACTATAATCAAGCAGGAATAGTTACATAGATGAGATAAGTACTGCTTCTGATAGCACTTTGCTCATATATAATTTTACTGTTCAGAGAAAAACTTAAAATCAGCAGTTAGAATTTCATGTTTTTTTCCTTTCATGCTGGTTTGTGAAATAATTATGCCTCTTTCAATATAAGAAAATACGGTCTTTTCTAAGTTTCACAGAGGTGGCTTAACTACAAGATACATTAAAGCTATTATTAAAATTATAACAAATGACAAGAAATCATTGAAAATGGTGGCAAGAGGAATGTGGGAGATCTATTCCTCCACAAAACAGTAAGTTAGCAAATTCTATGAGAAATAAATTTTTCAGAATTTGATGAATTATTGAAATTTAAAACACAAACAAACAAAAATCACTCAGACCAACCCAGGGTAAGTTTTGTGAACAAACCTGCAGCTGCTTTTAGATAAAGGAGTATTTTAAATTGCTCACATAACGTCCTCTATGCCAGACAGGCAATGGCACTAAGAATAGTAGCTCACACTAACAAGACATGCAAACAGAGAACAATGATCAGGGAGGGGGAAGAATGGTCAATCCACAATCAACAACAAAAAAGTAGTAAATAGATACTGAGAGGAGCTCTAAAGTATTAGCTTCTAGCTAAAAGTTAAGTAGTTCGAACCCACCAGCCACTCTAATGGAAAAAGATGAGGCAATCTGCTTTCATAAAGTTTCATAAAAAACCTATGGGATACTTCTACTCTGTCCTGTAAGGCTGCCCTATGCAGCATCAACTCAAAGGGTGTGAATTGGGTGGTTTTGGGGGTTGTTGTTTTTGTTTTTTTTTCGGTTGTTGTTGCTGTTCCATCAGAAAGCCAAAGAATTAAATTCCTTGACAGAAACTCTGAATTAATTGTCTTAAATATGATGAAAGACTAGAACTATAATGGTAGCTGTCTGGCAGCTTACTGAGCTACTCTTACAAGCTCTTGCCTTTGTTTTCCCCAACGGTCCCCAGCCTGGATGGTACTTCAAGAGTGTCCCAACTCAGAGCAAATCTGTAAAGACAGGAGAGTATCTTTTCCTTTTTTCAACTTCTACTTATTTAATGAAACTCTGTCAAAATACTTGCTGACTGCAAAACTAATGGACATTACCAATAACAAGCCACAATAAAAAACACTGGGGAAGGGGAAAGTAAGATTTCAAGAGTTGCCACGT